CATTTCAGATTCTGCTCTAGTTTAGATATTTTGTGCCTAATTCAACCTCGGCATGAGGAGGAGTGACTCCAAATTATGGAGTCACTCATGCTTACCACTAATAATGGGTAGATTTGGGTCTCTTTGTGTGTCCTTTCTGGAACAGTTTATTTTTCACATGAGGTTTGGCTAAGATTTCACCACGACAATCCTCCCGCATCCCCAAAAAATCAGAATCTCATTGCTTAGTCAGAGCAGATGACATTGTTTCAGAATTATCCCAATCCAAACTCTTCACAGGTCAGACAGAATAGAAGCATTGGCCAAAGAGGAGTTCTTGATGGGTAAAAACACATTTTAATAGGAGGTTTTAATCTTCATTAGTCATATGATGCTTTTGTAATAGCACAAGTATTTCTGAATGCTAGTTTTCAAAGTTGCTCTACTCTAAACGAGTTTACTTTTCCCCTAAAAAGAATTAAATTTATTCAACTGAGTAGTCGTCAGCAGCCTTTCAGAAAATCTGGAATTCATAGGAGCCTCTCCTATGGTTTCCCTTAGTACATAAAATTGTCATTTCTCCCATTGCACTAGAAGACAGGAATGTTATTATTCTAGAAGTTGGAATTTTGGTTTTTAACCATGATCCAACACAAACGTTTGTGGTTTTTTGGAACCTAACCTGCTTTAAACTCAACATCCTGAAGCTGGAATTAATTGCTCATTAAAACACAAAGAGCTCCTTTTTCACTCCAAAGTAAGTATAGAACCTTTTGACACATTATGGAAAAATAATGCAGTTCTCAACCTTCCTTTTCTCTGTTTGATTTTTAGGTATGGACCTTTGCCAGATACACAATAAACTGCTTGGCCTTTAACACAAAAGGGTATGATTCTTCTTTTTGTAACCTTAATTGGGAACTGACAAAATTCACTACACTACAAATTTGCTTCAATCAAAACCTGTTGACAGATAATATATTAAGGCCTAGTGCACAGATCTGAGTGGAGATCAGATAGCTGAAGAAAGGATTTTTTTCCTTTCATTTTTTGTCAACATATAAATCTAATTTGCAAATGAGGAATAAAAAGTCGTAAGATCTGCTATATACAAGGTATCCTATAGGATATTGTCAGGCTGCTGCAGTTTCCTATAGGTGAAGAACCACACTCAATTTGTAATGAATTATACACAGTCTCTGGAAGAACATGAACAAAATAAGGCTGCAGGAAGAATTTAATGTCACAGTGAAGACAGGACTGAGGTTTTAAGTAACAGGATTGGTATGAAATCTGTGAAACAATCCAAGTAAATCCACAAATAGGTTTTTTATTCTGAGTTTTTAAAACTTTCTCTCTCTCTCCCTCCCTCCCACACACATACTTTATTGCCTTGATTGAACATTCATTTCCCCCCCTTATTTTTTTGTTTTGTTTTCTTGTTTCAGTGAAGCAATGGGAAGGACAGCACCCATAAAATGCGCCTGCTGTAATTCCCTCCAATTCCTAAAGTGACTGTCCTAAGTTCCTATGGCCCATCTCTAACAAAGTTCTCTTAGGATTTGAACAACAGCTCATTTTAAGTCAATGGGACTCTCTAATGGGCTTTGATATTGTCATGAAAACGTGCATTATTTAACGGGTGGGCTATTCAGACGTATACATACGTGCACGCACGCACTCACTGACACGGGAACCAGTACACTCCAATAATACACCCACATGGTTACCAGTGGACTTCAGTTTTTTCAATGAAAATAAAACAGCCATTTTTTTTCTGGAAAGTATTTATACTTTATAATCAACATCTCTCTTTACTTAACTGGCCCTAGAGAAATAAAGATGTTTCACTTTAAGCCATCTAACCGTTGTGAATCTGGCTTATCATTTTTCCCTAGAGTAATGAAGCTGGAGAGAGAGAGTCTAAAGAGCACGAAACCAAACCACCCCCCAAAAAACCAGAGTAACTGGAAATAATTTTGAAGTTTTATGCTAGATAGTACAAACCGTGCCATATAAATGTATCTCTTTACTTAGACATACTAAACTGAATTATTCAGCTGTTCCTTAGAAAAAGAAAAAGCAGGCTGAGAAGGAGGGAGAGCAGAAAAAAGAGCGAGGGAGCAAAAATATATACAACAACAAATGAGAAGAACAGAGGAGAATTGAAAAAAACATGGAGGTGGGGGGAGGATTGAAGAGCGACTAGCAAGCTTATTTAAAATGAATTTTTGACCTTATTTTTAAAACATTTATGGATCCCAATTGCCTGTCATGAGATTATGTTCCCTTACAATGCTGGCTTTTCAGCTGGCTCTGCACTTTAACTTGATTTATCCCATTTTTTAAAAAGTAGATTGTTAGAAATACCCTTTCCACCAGAAATTCTGTCCCATTATAGTGTCAGCTAAAGGCCACTTGTCAATGTCAGCTTTATAAGATAGAAATGTGCGGTGTGAGCTCTCAGACTTATTTTTTGGAGGACAAGCCCTAACGTCCATCTCTGAACCTCCTGCTTCGCTGTGGATAGTGTCTTCTTAAATTATCTTATGTTATTTTCCAATTTATCTGAAGGTTTCATTAGATGGTGTACAGTGATTACAGCAGCTGCTGTACATTAGCAAGACATCTTAAAGGAGCGCTGGCTTAGGTATCATGCTGACTGACAAAAGCATAGTATTAAACTTATCTAGTATTAAAAATACATCAGGAGGCCTCTCCTCTTCTCCAGCTGTGAGAAGAAAAGTCCATAAAGCCCATAACAGCAGGATTTCCTCCTGCTCAGCTGCCTGCTGCCTCTTTAGGGGAGAGATCTGACAAGTGGAGACTAAAGTAAGTTTTTCTTTATTTACAGTGATGGAATTAGTCATCAGATTGTCTTTTTACTGGCGAACAGAGGTTGAGGAAATTGGCTGTTGCTCAATCTGTGTTACCATAATGCTGCCAGGGATCAGTGTTAAAACGAGCAGTGTAAGGCCCAAATCAGAGGGCTGCTCTTGAACTACCAACAAGTGTGAGGAGAAATGGCGCAGTGGCCACTATTTTTCCTGGTCCAGAATATGGTGCAATACCAAACTGGGGATGGAGAGATTGTGGCAGGCAGGAGATTTCGCTCTTGTAGCTTCCCAGTCGTTGGTACTTTTTAGAGAAGGTCAGGCACTCAAGGCCTTTGAAACTGTACAAGTGACTTCGACTGGTGGAACTATTTAGGTGTTGCAACAAACTTCAGCCCCCAAGGTAAAGTTAGAATTTAGAGCAGACACTATATAGCAGGTCTTCCTCTCAACAAAAACAGTTACAAATTCATGCCTTAGAAAGAGGAACAGAAACTATCTTGATGCCTCTAATATTAATCAATCTAAGACTGGGAGCTTTAAAGCTCTCTCGGGTGCTTTGATTAAGCACATCTTGCCTCACAGGAAAAAGGAAGCTTTGGAAATCGGTAATCTTTGGGCATTACATTTAATAGAAACGGCTTAAAAGGGATTACCTATAAGGGACCTTCGTGAATCTTTGGAAATTATATTGGACCATAAATCTGAACCTCTTTGGAGGGGTAATAAAGCCTTATCAGTTTCAGATAAGAAGTGGAAATCCTCAGTCTGCTTTAGGTGCATCATTGGCCAGGTCTGGAGTATCTGCCAAGACACTGATTATTTCTTTAGCCTCTGTCTTGGATAGATAGATATATTTTATTTAGATTATAAATTTGGTTTGTTAAAAGATTTTTTTAAACCAAGAATGGAAATTTAACAGATTCCCAAATTTGGTTCACAACCTTCAAGCCCACAGAACAAAATTAATTGCTCTAAGGGATCTTGCTGGGAATGATATTTCTGAAATTCACACATACGTAATATACACTTGTGATTGCGATACAGCCACGTTTTGTTTTTTAGGAACACAAAGCACAGTAACTGAAGATTTCAATTTTTCATTCAAACTGATAGTCTGGCAAGTTTGGGGAATACTGGAGACATTGATGATGTTAGTATTTATAAAAATTCAATTATACTTGGGTTTTAACATGTTTTAAATTGTTACATTTGTTTTTTAAAACAAAGTTTGAATTTAGTTTAAATTGCACCACGTCGGGCAGCATGACAGAGAGTTGCATGTCTGAACATTGACTGGCCTTATTTATTTTTAGAGACCGAGCGCAACCCGGAAATTCTTGTCCAGGCAGAACTCAGAGAGCTGCAGGCTCCTATGATATTAAGTTATTCCATATATTTAAGGCATTAGAGGAGTCAGGAGCACTGGATTCTACTGCTGGCTCTGTCCCACACTGGCACGGAATGCCCTTGGGACAGGCACAGCACTTTGTTCCCCAGCATCCCTAGCTGTAATATGGGGAAAACGGAATTTTCCTACTAGACAGCTGTGCTATTAAACTTAATTCAATCCTATTGGTAAAGCACTTAGAGATCCTCTGAGTGAAGGCTCTATAAAAGGGCAAGGTATTAGTTTCTTCACTTAAAACGTGAAACAAGGGAAGTGTTTGGCCCGGACTGTTAATGGCCCTGGCACAGGTGTGCAAGGGGAGGGTGTGAGTAACCTTGCCCCCCACACTTGCATCTCCTCATTCCCATGCAGCAACCAGGCACAATTTGAGTCTGTGTTCTCCTAATCCCCACGTCACCCCAAAGGGAAACAGCTTGATGAGCAGAGGGACCGTACTGCATCCTGCTAAGAGACCTAGTGCCACCTTGTGTGCCTGAATGTTTCGGGAGGAATCATGCAGGCTGGGACCACCTGCAGCGAGTTGCTCCGGGGATGGTGCAAATCTGGGCCAGTGCTTACATCTAACAGTGGGTGGACATGACAGCATTGGAAATGACTCACTTTAGTAGAGTTTAAATTATATAAAAGATTTGTTTGATGGGCTGAAGTTACTTACAAAACTCAAATAGTCATGTTAAACTGACACAGAGACACAGTATCTGGAAAACAAAAACAAACCAGCCAATGTCTTCTGCAAGCTTCCATACTTCAAAAAGATTTGTTGGATAGCAACCTACCCAGTGCTGATCATAATCAGATGACCGTGTTCTCATCTCATCATCCTCGTAGAAAGGTAAACCGTCTCGCCTGGCCTGATGGTATTCCTTCCGTAGCTTCTGGATACGGTCTGCATTCCCACCCGCTGGACAGCCACTGGAAAATAAAAGAATAAATTACATATGTACACTCCCCACCCTCCATATAATGCTGATACCAATGTGATAAACTCTGAGCCTCTCACCTGTACCCTGCACAGGCATTCCTATGAACAATGACCAATGGCTACCATATTTAAATAAATAATAATAATCAACTGCCACAGAAATATTTACTTTGTCACTCTAACTATGGAATTTTCCCTGAAATTGCGTATGACTGAGGTAAGTAGCACTCAGACCTGGAGCAGTATACACTTTCTGGTCTGATATTTCATGAGCTATCAGGGCTAGGAACAAAAAGTTCTGTACCATAAAAAAGGCGGGAATCCCACTCTCAATTACAGAAAGAACTAAGGTTCCAGCCTTGAGAAATGGTGGGGGAGTCAAACTATAAAATGGGGACATTATTACATATGGAAGAGTAGCATCTGGTACTTTTAAATGTTTGTAAAATGTATTCAACCCTAATACTGCAAAGACTTATACATGCTGAACTTTATGCACTGAGAATAGTCGCAATCAAGTCAATGGAGCGACTGACAGCACGTGAGTTCAGCACATGCGTAAGTCTTTGTAGGATTAGGGCTGAATACATTTGACAAACATTTAAAATGATCAGATACTACGTTCCCATATATAATAATGTCACTATTTTATAGCTTGACATTGTTTTTTCTTCCCCTATTTCCCAGGGTTGGAACACTAGAAATACTGTCTACATACCTATTTTTAGAGCACTAGCACAAGCCCCGCTAGTCCGAGTTTATGGAACTCTTCTAAAATAGTTTTTCTGAAATGTATCGTATACGGCAAATGCAGACTACATGGCAGAATAAAGGTTTTATTGGCACTTATTTGAGACGTGTGCCTAATGGCTTTGCAGTAATGTGGTCACCCCAAACTCATACGAACAAAACCTTAATATTGAAGCACATAATCATATATTCTCTTATCCTGCAACCTTAACTCTTCCATTTTGTGTGTACGCAAAACAATAAAGATGCTAATCACATAAGCACATGGACCATGCATAGGTGTGCCAGGGCACAGTGTAGGGAATCTTCACCCTCGATATATGTTAAAGACTGTATTTGGCACCTTTTCTTTAGCAAACCACAGAGTCAACCCAAATTCACCTGCAGATTGCAGCAATAAGATTCAACAGGCAAATATAAGCTAAAGATGCTTTTGAAAGAAAAGTTACTCATTTAATAAAGGCAGACCTCAGCAATGTGCCCTATTTTATCTATAACATATAAACAATAAGCATAGCTTTAGAGGGGGAAAAAATCCTGATTTTTCTCTCTAGCAAAACATTTAGAGAGATTCTTGCTTTTTAAGGCTCAAGTCCCCCTCTTTATATTGGGAGAGAACTTAGAGCTGTGCTAGTGTAACATAAAGCAGTCTCACTCACTCTGGAGTAATGTGAGATGAATATGATGCCTTCTCCAATGCTCATGCAACAGTTCTGAATTTCAACTTGGCTCCTGACAATTATGTGAATATATGAACCACATTCAAACTCACCAGATGAATTCAATCAGTGCTGTGCAAATATCGCATACATAATCTATTAGTTTACCCCCAAAGAAACTGAAGCATTGAATTCAGAGAGAATGAAGTCATCAGTAATAAAAAAAAGAAACCGATAAGGCAATATTAAAAAAATCCACAATTTTCCAACATTTGCAGGGAAGATCATATGTTGCCTGTAAACTATTCTCCCATCTGCCTATAAATACATAATTAAAAAATATGGGTTTGATCAGATAGCAGTTCTCAAGTAGGAGAACAGTAGAAGAATACCAATTCAAATGCTTAGAATGCATGTCTGCTTATGCTGAAAAGAAACCTGACCTTACAGAAGAAATATAAAAACAATGTCCCAATCAAAGTCAATTTATATTAAATAAACCCATTGGAAATACTCATTTAGGCTTGTGAGTGCAGAAGACAGAACTATTGCAGGAGTCCAACCTACAATTTGGTGCTCACATCCTGAAAGAGCTAAAAATGACCACAGACTTTGCCACTTACACAATTTAGTGCCTAGCTAATTTCATTGACTTAGCTTCTCACACAATAAGCTCTTCACACAGAGTTACACAATACACCTGATCTCACACATTCACACAAAAAATTTAAGAAGGCTACGGAGTTGTCACCTGTCGAGAAAAGATTTCAAGTGAACCACCCACTCCATGCAAAGCCAGAAGACTTTGTAGCAGATTTCAGAATGATTTTCATGAATTTAATGCGATTGAATCAGAAGTGGCTGAGGTTGGCATGAATCACAGAATCATTGAAATGTAGGCCTAGAAGGAGTCCCCTGCACTGAGGCAGAACCAACTAAGCCTAGGCCATACCTGACAACCTCTTCTTAAATACCTCCAATAATGGGGCTTCCACAACCTCCCTTGGAAGCTTATTCCAGACTTAACTGCTTGAAAGTTTTTCCTAATATCTAACCTAGCTTTCCCTTGCCACAGATTAAGCCCATTACTTCTTGTCCTACTTTCAGTGGAAATGGAGAACAATTGATCTCTGTCCTCTTTATAACTGTCCTTAACATTTTGAAGAATCTTATTAGCTCCCCCCGCAGTTGTCTTTCCTTAAGACTAAACATGCCCAGTTTAAACCTTTCCTCGTAGGTCAGGTTTTCTAAACCTTTTAACATTTTTGTTGATTTCCTCTGGACTCTCTCCAATTTGCCCACATCTTTTCTAAAGTGTGGTGCCCAAAACTGAACACAGTACTCCAGATGAGGCCTTCCCATGATCGAGCAGAGCAGGACAATTACCTCCGGTGTCTTACACACACATCCCAGGATGATATTAGCCTTTTTCACAACCGCATCACATTGCTGCCTCTCATTCAATTTCTGATCCACTATAACCCCCAGATCCTTTTCAGCAGCACTACCACCTAGCCAGTTATTCCCCATGTTGTAGTTGTGCATTTGACTTTCCTCTCCTAGTACTTGGGTTATTTGGACTTTTGTTACCCTGGAAGAGTACTGTGACAGTCACCCAGCTGGAGAGTTGAGCCACACGACCCCCTGGTTTCAGAGTAGCAGCCGTGTTAGTCTGTATCCGCAAAAAGAACAGGAGTACTTGTGGCACCTTAGAGACTAACAAATT